TGCTGATGTCTTGCACACGTGCACTCTTTAACCTGGGGCTCTCACCTCTGAAAATCTCCCTTGGGCCCCCAACTGGGCCGACAGACTGTCTCAAACAAACAAAAAGTAACTAAATCTAAAACAGGACTGGGGATGTAGCTCAGTATGCAGACTCTGCAGGGTTCAATCCTCTGAACTCAATAGAGATTTAAAGAAAAGAGAAAGAGAGAGAGAAATTTTAAGTGGCAAACAACTGAAAACACCCCCAAGTGTAAAATAGGATGACAGTTACGATCCACTGTGTCCTGGAATTCGACTTTGGCTGCAGTGATTGACACACACCAATCATAGGTTATAGGTGCAGCAGAAAGGGCTGACTCTAAGCTGTGTGTACGGAGTGACCCCTTGTGTGAAGTTCAAAAGCAGGAGCAGCATCTGAAGTGTGGCTGGGCTGCTGACCTAGGAGGCCTCATGGGTGAGGGAGATGCCTGCTGGCTCCGAAGAGGGGTGGGTATTAACTGAGCTTCACACTTTGCACCTGTGTATTTTGCTGTGTGTGTGCGCACATGTGTTACACACCAACAAAACTGTTTTAAAAATCCCACTGTACTCAAGGAATCTGTCACTGCACAGGGTAGCAGACGGCTGGCTCAGCTGTCAGCGTGGTTGCTGGGAACAGTGTGCCCTTGAGAGGTGTGATATGGAAGACCAAGTAGCTGCATGAGCAAGCTTGTGCATGTGAAGGTGCTCAAGCCCTGCAGGTCCAGGCAGTGGCTTCCAGGGGGACTGAAGAGGCTAAGGGAGGATAGTGACAGGCTCATATCCCTCCATTCTCACTCAAGTCACGCATGAGCATAGGGACTTTCTGTGACCATGTTGGTGGATCTCTTATCTCCTGCAGCTGCAGGGGTGGGGAAGCCGAAATCTAGACACAGTTTCATCCAGCACAGGGCAAGAAGAGGAGGAGGCCAGGGAAGTGACTTAGGTACAAAACTTAAAGCAGGGCTCAGTTTCAAGGGATAGATAGTTGGGGAAAGTGTTTTTCCTCTTTTGTTACCCACACCCAACCTGCTACCCAAAAGGGAGAAGTGATGGCTGGGATCCCAGCAGCCGTTGTGAACCATGAAGTAACCCTGAGGCTGTCAGTCATATGCTAAGGTGATGATTTGAAAAGAGAAGATGTCGACTTCCAGAGAGACTGCCTTCTCTCTTTTATTTGAGAGAAAATAAAAATGTCTTATAAGCCTCTGCTATTTTGAATTTTCATTATATGAAGCTACAACTAAAAATATCGGGTACAGGTGCATCCATCAGTAATTCTGGCTTTGTGCACCAGCTTGAGCAGTTGGGAGTGGTGTTAATTATCTCCTCAGTGGGTTGACAGAAAATCAGACTTACTAGCCATGAAATCCTCAAGTTGCGGCAGAGAAAGTGATGTCAGGAACCTGAGGGCTCTGAAGCATGTGCAGTGGACAGTGATTTCCAAGTGCTGCTCTGGGCAGACCTGAGAGCTGCCTCCGCCAGGGCCTGGGGGGACACACAGAAAGGAGGCACTAGCTGCTTAGGGAGCACTGAGTGTGTCTGGGTCAGACCCCAGGACTTCAGCTGCAGTGGGGAGGAGCACTGCCTTCATTATGTAGGATTCAGGACCAAAGCTGAAGGGCAGCTTGAAAGAGCCTTTGAAGATCCTCACACTGAACAACTCGAATCTGGCAAGCAGAGGTGACTTGAGCCATCAGGATTCCTCCTGGGGTACTCAGAGCCTCTGCAACGATGTGCTGGTGCAGCGCTGGGGTCCTGTCCAGCCTTGCCAGAGGACCGATACCACTGCCCAGCCAGGCAGGCCCCCAGAAATGGCTTCGCAGCTATTTTTCCCTTAAGTGCTGGGAGTAGAACCCAGGGCCTCACGCCTGCTGGGCAGATGCTGTCCTGCTGAGAGACTCCAGGGAAGTACTGGCTAGATTATCCTAAAAGACACAAGTAGAGACTCCAGTAGGGGGCGCTGCGATGGGCTCAAAGGCACGCAGCCTGCCATGGGACTTACCTTGGTAGTCCTGTTTACCAACTCTGTCCCTCGCTGCATCTCTCTCTGTCTCTCTTCCCCTGTGTCTGTCTCTCTCCCTGACACCTCCATGAGTGTGCACCTATCCTGCTGCAGGCTATACGGCTCTTGTTTGTGCCCACACTGTGGTCACCAGACCAGGCCAAAGCAGTGACAGGTGTGTTTCCCGGGAATGCGTCCCAAGGCAACAACTGTGTGTCCCAGCCCCTTAGGAAAGGGCACAGCCTCCATTAGGCCTTGGTGGGCTTTGGAGGTGACATGTGCAGCATTTGGGGTGTAGCTCCAGCTCTTGTGGAGACACAGAGGCTGGTGGCAGAGCCAGAGGCAGCTCTTCCTTGGGAGCAGAACACCATGCAGGGGGACTTTAGGGTCCCCTGACCAGATGGAGAGCTGGAGCTGTGAGAGGCACTTCGGGTCTGTGTGGTCCTACAGGAGGCTCAGGTGTCAGGGTTGGGAGCCAGAACACCTCTGAGCAGGGGACCTCTCTCCTCCCGAGCCACACCCAGCTTTCGCCCCAACACCAGCCTCTGGGCCCACGGTGACCCTCTATGGACGAGATCTGCCCTCTGTTGTGCGGCGCTGCAGTCCCTAGAGGCCCAGTGACCTGCATCTGCTCCAGACACCAGTGGGGTTGTTCCAACCCCAGGAACCGGTTTCAGACCTCACTGCTGGCCCCGCACAGGCTGGGTGCCACCCTGTGGCGGAATGCAGAGGCACCTGTCACTGTCCATGCGGACAGAAGGAGAGGGCAGAACATTGCCCTGGGGAAGTGTATTGTTCTATGGTCAGACAGCCTGGGGCCCCAGGGAGCGAGGCTGCAAGAGGGACAGCGAGCTTTGGAAAAAGAGCACAAATACAGATACGCATCTAGAATGGTCACACGAGCCAGAGCCTCTGTAATGGGTGGTCAAAAATATGACGAGTGTTTAAATATATAAAATTATTACAGCAAAAGACATGTTGCCATTCGTCCCCCTCAGAACACTCCCCTTCACTTAGAACACACTTATCCCATCATCCTTGCCACTTTCTGAAGCAGGTCTGTAAGTCCTCTTTTGTGAGTGTCTTTCCAAGGTGTTATAAAAAATAAGATGAATGCTGCCGCTGAGCGTCACTGAATAAAAGGCAGGCTCATGAAAACACTATGGCATGTCCTCATCCACCTTATGCACTGGACCTGGCACTGTGTGACCTCTGGCTCTTCCTCAAAGTCAAAATGACTAGGAAAGGGAAATGTCTTGAATCCATTCAGGGCATCGAGGCAGCCATGGCAGTGCAACTAAAGACACTCATGACGAGCTGGGGCGCGTTCAAGGTGGTATGGCTGTAGACTAAAGACACTCATGAAAGAGGACTTCAGAACAGCTTTCAGAAAGTGGCGAGAATGATAAGTATGTTCAGAGTTGAGGGGAAGCATTCTGAGGGGGATTCATGGCGATGTGTCATGGCAGCGTGGGTTCCTCCCTGAGGGGACAGGTACACTGCTCTTTGGTGTCACACTGCACGTCTATCTCTGGAGGGAGGAGAAAGACTTTGCATTGTTCACCCAGACCTTGTCACCAAGGTGAATGGGATCCAATATAAGCTGTCACCTGGCATGTCAAAGCCTGGGAGGCAGCTGAGCCCTGATGGCAGGTGCTCGTAGCCACCCTTTTCATTAGGAACGAATCCATTCCAGGCCAACCCTTCAGAAAGAACAGGCAGGGGCTGGGGATTTAGCTCATTGGCAAAAGGGCCTGCCTGGCAAGCACAAGGTCGTGAGTTCAGTTCCTGGTACCGGAGAAAAACCAAAACCAAAACCAAAAAAACCCAAAACAAACAAAAAAACCCCACAAAACAAAACAGAAAGAACAGGCAGTGCCAGATGGACCTTGGGTGGAACCAGGACCTGGCACTGGGGCAGGGTCCCTCCAGGAAAAGGTAAGTTTGCCTTGAGACAGGTGGGAGGTTGGGGCCTTCTCCTCAGCCTCCAGATGCCTGGTCTCTCTGACCAGCACAGAGAGGTGGGCATGTGGCCTGAGCTCAGCCTGTCATACACTTCCTCAGGACTCCATGCCTGGAGCAGATGCCACAAAAAATCAGGGACACCTTAGCATTCCTGCTAGTGGTGGGAGAGGTGTCCAGCATCCAGAGCCAGCTGCAGCATTCTCTCAAGATGCCCCCACACCTCCGAGGTCACAGCTCCCCCACCTGTCCCTGGGCCTGTGGGTCACCCAGTGTCTTCCCAGGGCACCCTCTTCGGCCTGACTCCACCCTATTGTGACCATTTATTTGTGGTGAGGTACCCTAGTGATGAGCATTAGGGTTGTTTCCATTTTCCATTCTTACAAGCAGTGAGGTGTGAATCTTCATGCTTCTCTCCATGCGCCTGCCAGGACTTCCAGAGGAGACTCCTCATTATGGCTTACCTTCCTGGGAATACACTCTTCCATCTTCCACAAGCCTGTTTCTCCTCAGTCTCTGAGTCCTAGTGTATAGTCCCGTGTGTGTGTGTGTGTGTGTGTGTGTGTGTGTGTGTGTGTGTGTGATACTGGGGATTGAACCCAGGTCTCTCTAGCACTCAGCTACATTCCCAGCCCTTTCTTATTTCTTATCCTGAGACAGGGTCTCACTGAGTTGCCCAGGTAGGCCTTGAACTCGGGATCTTCCTGCCTCAGGCTACCTGTAGTGCTGGGAATAGAGGTGTGAAAAAAATTTCATGTTAGAGGCTTCACCAGTCTGAGGTGGGCCTGTGCCCTGTGCTTGCCATCTCCCACCCGTGGTCCTCATCCTACACTACCCCTTTTGCAGTAGCACCAGGCGAGGATGTTCACTTGCTACTGCCGGTCTTCCCCCTACCCCAGGCCCATGGCTTGATGAGGACAGGGACTCTGTCTCATTTGTTGTCTCCCAGAACCCTGTACATCTGATGTCCAGCATGGTGCAAACCCAACAACGCTCCCTGAATGAATGAACAGACTGGGAAGCACAGTGCAGTTTTAATGGCCTCAGAGAAGTGACAGCAGTGGACGGAGCAGCTGCACAGGGACCTGGGAATCCCATAGCGATCTTCTTGCCTCCCCACCTGGAAGCCAGCCAGGCAGTGAGAGTACTGAGACCTCAGCACCCAGTGGAGTACTGAAAATCCCTGGACCTGTGGTGAGTGCTAGTCAAGGCCTTCCAGTAATTTCTTTAAGGTCATAGAGACCAGTGGGAGCAGGGAGACACCTGGTGGCTGGTGTTGGAGGCAGCTGCAGAGAGAAAGGAAGCAAAGGAGGGGAGCTTCCCCAGCACAGAGGCCTAGACTCTGATTGGCCCCATCTAGTCCAGGCTAGTTGCATTGGTCAGGTAGAAAGGCCGGATGGCCACGCGGAAGCTGCTGAAAGAGCCTGCAGCGCAGGGGAAGGTGGAAGGGGCCCTGGTGCTGTTGGTGCCCAGGGCACTGGGGATTGAGGTCTTTGAGCCTTGAAAGCCCAAGACATCCACCACAATGCCACCTCTGCAGAGCATTAGGGCTCTGTTTTCATAGCCAATGGTGGAATCAGAGGAACTAGACTTAGTGAGGCCTAGGGCTGGGAGCTCGTCAGAGGAACAGGAGAACCCGTAGTTCCAGCAGCTCTGCATGTTGGGGAGGTAGGCGAGAGTCCAGGAGACCAACCTCGTCTTGAAGAGGAAGCTGGGGTGCTCTGGGGTCTGGAAGGACTGGGAGGGGCTGCTCATGTAGCCATAAGAGGATTTGTTCACATAATAGTATGGATAAGTTGAATACTTCCGCCTCTGGTTCCTAGAACTCAGCTGCTGGGTCCAAGAATTGGCTGTCACCAAGGCGCTCCAGGTGGCCGAGGTGTAAATCCGGGGCTTGTAGATATCGTCAGTGAAGTTCAGGCCCTGGTACTGGGCCAGCAACCACAGGGGCACTGTGTGGAACTCAAGGGCCTGCAGTATCTTTTTCCGGAACAGAGCCTCATGGTCCTGGTACAGGGACAGGTTGAACTGCAGCTGGAAGAGCTCCTTGGGCAGCATCATGGGGAAGCGGATCTGCTCCAGCAGGACCTCGGCCTCCCTCTGGGAGGTGCCCTGCTTCCTGATCCAGGCATCCAGGGCCTGAAGCAGGGCCAGCTCGCTGGGCACGGCTACCTCGTCCCTAAGGAGGAGCGCCTGGAGCAGGGCTGTGGGGACGCTCAGCCAGGCCTCAGCCTGTGTCAAGGCTCCAAAGTTCCAGGCCAGGAACTGCACACACCGCTCCTCCAGCAGGGCATCACTTGTGTCCTGTGCATAGGTGTAGAGGTCCAGGGGTGTGCGGAAAGAGGGGTCCTGGGGGAGGAGGGTGGAGAAGAGGCGTCCGCAGTAGTCCTGCAGCTGCACGGCCCTGTAGGCGGAGGCCAGCTTATGCAGGCACTTGACAGACGCCAAGGAGACCTCAATCCTCCGGGAGTAGAAGTACCTGGGGAGACACAGGGGAGTTAGTGCCTGCCCTGCAGGACAGACAGCAGCAGTTGAACCCACAGTCTGAATCCAGAATCTCCCTTTTCCAAAAGCAACTTGAGGGTATTGGGCCACGGGTCAGGGGATGGCCAGAGATAACACCCACTGCCTCCTCCTGCATCAGTGATGGAGGGGTCCCTACCATCCCCTGGTCTCCCCTGCTCTTTCAGCTGGGCCCTGGGCACTGGCCTTCCTGCCCCAAAGTCACACCCTAGCCGGATCCATTCATTCCCTTGCTGGGCACTTCTCTGCCCAGCACCTGTTCTGTGCTTGGGATGTGGACAGACTGACTCTCATTCCTGCTGTCCCTGCAACTGCAGCCCACTCAGTGAGACAGGCCCCGCCCCCACCCTTCCCCTTTGCATGTAGGTGTCCCTGAGACAGATCTCAGTAGTCCTGCAGTTGATGTCACAGTGGGCTTGGAAACAGAGAAGGGCGACTGTCTTCTCCTACACCATGCCCACAAGACCCACCCTGAAGCTGGGCTGCTCCCCGGGAGGGGCACTGGACTGTGGGTTTTGGGCACCAGTTTCCATGCTGGTAACCATCAAAGATCGTGGTGGCAAGAGGAAGGAGCACTGCAGAAGTGTTTGTCCCCAGTTCTTCATGCTCGCCCCGGCCAGAGCAGTGCCCCTGGGCTGCAGGTAGCCACATCGCACCAGCGGAGGAGTGGGGAGCGCCAGGCTGTACCCTTCCAGATGTCTCATGCCTCCTGGCACCCCACCCATGGGGGCCCAGCCTCGAGCAGGTGCCATCCATGTCCCCAAGGGCAGGGGACACAGGAATCAGAGTGAGTCTCTCGGCCTTGCCCATCTTCCTCAGGGCAATAAACACACCAAGAGGGAGGAAAAAGGCCCTAAGCCAGTAGGACTAGGGGCCTCAGAGGCCCGGAGCAGCTGGCAAAGCAGGTGGCTCATTGCCAATTCCCCTGGCAAGGGGAGGGCAGCGTTCAGGGTGACCTGAACAACGAGGGGTCCTCTAAGGAATTAGGGGCTCCCTGCAGCATCTTCGCCCACCTTGAGGGAGTGGGCAAGGGAGAGATAGAGACCGGTGGAAAGAGACTGAGTCAGCGCCAGGGCAGGGGGTGGTGCTGAGCTCTGACCCAGCGGGGCCCAGGCAGGCGGAGGGGCCCTGCCTCCACCTCCAGTGTGCAATGACCCGACCCAGCAGGAGGGCCGCAGGCTGCCTTAGCAAGCTTTTTATACTAGGCTGGAAAGAAGCCATTTAAATGTGTTTTTAATTGCCAATACTGTTCTCTCTTAAATGTCATTTTCAGTTATATAAAGCTTTGGGTCATAAGAATGAGAGAGAATCATTTTTAATAAATGTGGTCTTTTAAAAAGTGCTGCTTTCAAAATACAAGTCCCCAGGAGGCCTCTTTGGTGGGGAGATTGTGGAACCCTGCACCCCCAGCCAGCAGGGGAGCCTTTGGGTCTCACTTTCTTCACTAGGGACGTGGGCAGAGCCCCCAGCCGTGACGCGAGCCACATGTGGAGTGAGGCCCAGAAGCCCCTCTGAGAGGCCCTTGCCCCACTTCTCTGAGTGGACAGTCACACGTCTCCGTCTTCCACGAGAGCAAGGAGAGTGGGGGCAGAAGTGGGAGGATGACTGTGGTGGTTACTTCTGGGTACTGAGGAGGCTCTTACATTACATCTCTAAAGTAGAGAGGTATAGAGGGAAGGGCTGTGCGTGTGTGCGTGCCCTCCAATTTCTGCGTCAGTGTCTGCCTTCCTGAGGGCTTGGTGTGGCTGAGTCCCATCCCTGTTGCCAGTGCTCCACAGCCAGGCAGCTGCCAGTCCTGTGGCCTTGGTGGGAGGAGGGCCAGAAACAAAGGCCCCTCCTGCCCTTAGTAGACACCAGCACACACACACACGCACGCACGCACGCACGCATGCACTCACGCACGCACTCACTCCCTTCCTGCTTCCCAGACACCACACAAACCAGCTCAGCCTCCTGCTGCCTCACTCATGATCCACAGATGCTCAGACGTGAAAGTCCAGAATTTTGTTTGTTGTTTGTTTGCAACTTGGGTGGAATCCAGGGCCTTTGCACTGAGCTACATCCAGCAGCTTTTAATTTTTACTCTGAGACAGGGTCTCTCTTAAGTTGCTGGCCTCAAATTTATGATCCTTCTGCCTCAGCCTCCCAGGGCTCAGCAATTACAGGTGAGCGCCATCGCATTCGGCCCTCAAGGTTTCTTATACTGTGTCTCATGAGAAATTAAAACTTTTGTGCGCAGGTGAGTTTGGGTGAGAGTGCGCATGTGCATGTGAGTCAAGCGTGTGCCTGTGTCAGCACATACATGAGCGTGAGCTGTGTGTGCAGGAGGGAGTGCATGGCATGTGTGTGAGCCAATGTTCAGATGTATGCATGCGAATGTGTCTGAGTGTGAGAATCTGTGAATGCATCTGTGAGAGTACAGGCATGCGTAGATGTGTGAATAAGCACGTGTGCATGTGTGCATGAGTGTGTGGCACACACAGGGGTGTGAGAGAAAGTGTTTCCGTGTTTGTGTGCACACGTGCACAGTGTGTATGTTCACAGCAGTGCTGCTGTGCAGGGGAGGGAGGGAGGAGGATATTCAGGGCAGCTTAGGGACCCACGTGACTCACCTCAAAAAGTCCCTGACCACAGACATGCACTCGCTGTCCACACGCATGATGATCTTGCTGCCCGGCTCCTCCCACAGGGCCTGTGCTTCAGGGTTTGCAGTCAGGATCACGCTGTGGGCGCAGAAGGCCAGCTCCTCTTGCTCCTGCCCCACTACCTGGATGGACAGGTCGCAGCCCTGCTGGCTGTCGAAGATCAGGCCGAGGGCTGCGGAGAGCTCCCCAGAGAGGTCAAGAGTGTATTCTCCTCTGGTGTCTGCAAGGGGTGGTGGGAAAGTGTGCGTGAGGACCGGGGTGCTGCCACTGCTCACCCTGGGACCCCGAGCCCCACTTCTGCCCTCTGGAATCAGCCTCTTCCTTGGGAATGGTGGTGCTCAGAAATGTTCGGGAAAGTGAGGGAGGGAACAGGCCTGCCCTGCTCCAAGCCCCGAAGGAGGTGCTGCTGCTCTCTGGGCCCACTGAACAAGAACGAGTGTCCCCACCTCTAGGCCCACATTGACCCTCTGTCCTGTCCCCCCACATGCAAGCACCAAGATTTGGTGGCCCCAAGCTCAATCAGTCGATCATTGCAAAGGTCACCCTTCTAAATTCAACCCTCGCCTGCAGATGGTCTGAGGATGCCTGAGGAGTGAGGGGTCTACGCCACCCCATGTTAGAGCCTGGGGAGCCCCAACAGCCTCCTGGGGCTGAAACCTGCAGGAGTTATTACAGGAGACCCTAGGGTAGCCCCTCTTTCCTCACCCCACAGACCCTACTGGGAACCAAACTCCAGGTCTGGTCTTTCCCAGGTCGGGGTGAATGGATCTTAACATTTAAAGCGGCTGGTTGGCCCCTATTCCTCCTCACGCTGACCCTCAGGACCCTCCCAGCTCACACCTCCAGTCCCTCTCCTCCTCATAGCAGCTCCCTTAATGCCCTTTATCACCCCTCTGAAGCCCGACTCCTTCCGCCCAGCCAGCACCCACTCTCTAGCCTTGTGGGATTCCACCCGACCCCCAGGCTTCAGAGGCTGAGGGGAGGTGGAGGGAGGGAGGTTGAAGCGCCCTGAGGTTGGTGTGCCAGCCCAGGGGGAAGTGAGGGAGGAAGAAATGAGTGAAGAACTCCCGTGGGCTACTGGGCTGCTGGGAGCACAGGATGGAGTCGGGGCTCAGGCGGGGCTGGAGGTCTTGGGCACAGTCTTGCTGTCTGGAAGTGTGTGAACATCCCACATGTGGCCAGTGCACTCGGGGTGCCAGGGTGTATCAGTGTGAAACGTTCTGGGCTTTTCTCAAGAGAGGAGCTCCCACCTAGCATGCAGCCCCTTGCTTTCAGCAGGCCCCGTGGCAGTGGGTAGGGGAGGCCTGCAGCAGTGGGGTGGACCAGGGCTCTGGGGTTCCTCCTGGGGAGGAATCATGCTCTGTACGCCCCTGCCCCACCCCACCCTGTGTGGAGTCTGTCACACAACCTCTGTTTGCACCATAGTGTGCTGGGGGCAGGGACGAGGGAAGAGCCGCCACTTGCTCACCATTGGTGCAGACTACACCCGCATCCTTTTCGTGCCCGCAGTAACTCTTCTTCCAGCCCAGGGACCTGCAGCTGGCCAGCGAGGGCTCTGTCCCCGTGCACTGTACCTCATCCAGCATGACAGGGCCAGTCCCTGTGGACACAGGAAGGACAGAGGCTGGACCTCAGTGGGGAAGAGGCCAACAGAGCTGCTCCTCTGTGGGCACTAGACGAAAGCAATCCACTGCTTGGCCACAGGGACATTGGCTGCCCTGCAGTTCCTAGACCAGCTCTGTGGCTTCCTGTTCCCTCAGGTGTCAGTTCAGATCCGTCGCTGTATTATTGTACTGGAAGCTTAGTCTCATTCTTACAAGGCTTAATGGCTGCTTCAGAGACGTCAAATTAGTACCATAATGCACGTACCTATCCCTCTACTGAGCCCTCATGCCCTCGGGCCAAGCTCAAATTGGCCATCCCAACAGGTGCCAGTATACAGGTAGCATTTCCCATATTAAATGAGTGGGGCCACAATTTGCACATCTGTGAAGCCCAACTCTGGTCTTGGGGGACTTCTCAGGGGCCTCAGCTCTGGGAAAAGGATAGCAGCCCCACCTGGCCCAAAGGCAGCTCCGCCTAGCGCCTCTGTGGCGTTCTCAAAGCCCAGGGCCCGGCAGACGACGTTGGCATCTGCCAGATTCCAGAGGTTGTCGCACACTGTCCCCCACTGGTCTCCGTAGAAGATCTCCACACGTCCCTCGTTGGCTGTGGCCCCATTGACCAGCCTCATGTCCCCATCTTGTGCACCTGCAGGAAAGCCAAGGTCAGCTGGCAGGTAGACTGTGCTGTCCTGGTTGCAGCAATGTCCCCAACATCGGGAGATCTGCTGGGGTTCAGAGTTTACCACTTCAAAACCCGCTTTCCATTCATGAAGGGCCCCATACAAAGAGAGGAAGATCTGTGGGGACCCCCACAGGGACCAAGTCATCATCCTTATTTATGAGGTCCCAGTCCTTTGCTCCACAGGAAAGCAGCCCCAGCACCTTAGAGCAAAGGCAGAGGGACACCTAGGAAGAACAGAGGTAAGGAGGCCCCGTAGTGCCCCATCTGTGAGGGTCTGTGGCTCCAAGGTGCTGGCCTTAGGGAAGCGGACCCAGAGACCCCCGGACATGAGTACAGATGCCCCTCACCTTAAGACAGGGGTGCATCCCAATAAAGCTATCATAAATTGAATGTATCACATGTGGGAGGTGCGTGTGATCTGCCCAAGCTCAAGGATGGCCTGATTCCCACTGCAGAGTCAGGTGTGACCCCCCCACGGAGTGTCCCCTGGTGTGTCCCCCCCCAGACCACAGCTGACCAGAACTACAAATCACTGCCCTTATGGCGCTCTGTGTGAGTGTGAGACCTCAGACCGCTTACCCAGGAAGACTGAGGTCAGATGCTAAGTGCGGTTTCTACTAAACTCGTACAGCTTTTACACACTGTAAAGTGAAAAAGTTTTAAACCAGGGGCTGTTTGTACATCAAGTATAGAGGGGAAATGGGATTGCTGCTCACCCTCGATCTTCTGAGCTCAGCCCATGAATGCCCCAATCCCTGACTCTGCTGGTGCTGACAGGGTTGGGCAGGAACTGGGAGCCCAGATGTGGGGGGTTGTCAGTGCTAAAAGGGGATGCACTGTGGAGGGTGCGCCAGACCTTCCTGAGAGGTCACCAAGATAAAACAAGGTTTCTAGGGCCCAGGGAGGAAGGGCACTCAGGACCCTTGGAAGTCTGACTGGTGACCTATTGGCAGCCCCAGCGGCTGGCTGGTTTCATGCCCTGATGGGCTCCTGGGCCCACAGGTAAGAGAAGGGATTCCTTGGTGTCTTCTCCAATGCCTGCATCTCTCTCCTGGGCACAGGAACCCTGATTCCCCCAGATTTATAAACCACCATCACTTGGGGTGACTGGAACACCACACAGGAGAGAAGGCCCCACCAGTCCCTGGTGACAGGCGGGACACCTCTGTGACCTTCTGTAAGTAGGGAGTTACCCCACACAGTGGAGCACAGCAGCCTTGCAGGCTTCTGCTTTGGGCATTTCCCAGAGGCGCTACTCACCTTGAGTCCCTGGGACCAGCAACCACAGCCAGAGGAGCCACGGGACAGCCATGGCCTTGCTTGCAGGCCCGACCCTGTGGTGGGAAGAAGGAAGGAAGGACAGAGTGGGATGCTGGAGTGGGCAGCCTCCAGGACTGAACCGCACCACCCTGCTGGTCTGAGTGCTGGCCCAAGGGTGACTGAGCTCTGGTGAGAAGCAGCAGGTGTGCTGCAGTGTCTCCAGGCAGCAAGACAGAATGGGGTGGGCACAGACAGGGCATGAACCTGAATAAGGACCCAGCCCACAGACCCCAGAGGGTGTGCAGCCAAGACGAGCTGGGGAGTGGAGAGTGGAATGGAGGGGCTGGTGCAGGGCACAGGGTCCATCAGGAGGAGGCCATGCAAAGCAGGAGAGACAGACCGCAGGGAGATGTCCATCTGGGTGGCCTGCGGGTCGGGGAAGGTGGAGAGGAAGGATCCCGGCTGACACTCAGGTCTCTGTGCAGCTGGGTAGAGAGGTGGCCATGGCTGTGACCCAGGACACCAAGGCCACAGGACCACCTGGGCAGGGAGAGAACTCAGGTTTTGGCTTTTGGCCTGGAGTTCTCCCCTTTGCATAATTCCAGGTGCTTACCTTTATCTCCATCTGCAGTGACTGGCCGCCTCCCTAACCCTTCTCCTGTCCTGCCTAGTGACAGCCAGGGGAGGAGGTGGGGGGAGCCAGGGAGAGCGAGTGGGGAGGGGTTGTGTCTCTGAAAGAACACTGTGAGCCCCACCCCGCTCCTGTGGGCCAGCAAGCAGGGGACTGGCCACCGGGCAGCACAGCTGTGAGCTCTGGTTACAGGCCCAGGCCTGGAGACCTGTGGCTGGCTCTGAGCCCTTGATGCGCAGAGGAGATGGCAGCAGCACCCTCAGAGCCGGTTGGAAGTGCACAATTGTGGTTGCCCAGCCCTCTGTGTGGAATCTGCACTCACAAGACCCGCACCCCCAGGGGTATCTTGCTCATGGAGACCCTGCAGGCAGCTCACGTAGGCCTCACTGTGACCCTTGAGAAATAAAGGCTTGGCTGAGTGAGCTGAAATCCAGAGACATCAGCCAGGTCCAGGTCACACTCTGGTCACTGCATGCGCTGGGAGGGCTATGCCCTGGGAAACCCCTGTTCCCGGGGAAACCCGCATGGTGGGTGGAGCTGCAGTCACCAGTACCTGCCAGAGCGGTACTGCTGCGTGAACCTTGCTGCCCTCTTGATGTCAGTGGCTGTCTGTTTCTGCCCTTGTATGGGAAGCTGGGACAAAATTCCTGGGCTGGACCTTTGTACAAGTTAGGAGAAGGGACTCTTCTTTCAGGTGGGTGCAAAACTGGTTGCCGATGCACAAACCCAAGAGGGGACTGGATTTTAACCAGCTTGCCCTTTTGGCTGGTATCTTTGTGTAGTCAACAGCCTGCCCGCCTCTGTGCTGAGGCCCGGCAGGCCTGGGAGCAGCCAAGATGGTTCCTGGGCTCAGGAGCATGGAATCACAATGAACAAACAAAAAAAGAGCGCCCCCAGCTCCTAGCCTCCTCCCCGCCCCACCGCAAAGAGGAAAGCAGGGTCCCACTTGATCGTGCTGTGTAGAGAGGTGAGCCCAGCTGAGACAAAGAGGCAGGAGCTTACCTGCCCAAGGCAGCTACTGAAGGCATCCTGGAGCCTCCCTCCTTCCGCTGCAGGAACTCTGTGTAGATGGGGTCCCTCTCAGAAGAGCCTTTCAACCCAAAATACCTTCTCTGTCGGGATGTGTTCAGACACTTCCCAGGAAATGCTTCAAAATCAGTCTGGTTTCACTTCCTAGAAGTCACATGACCAAGGTTTTTTCTGGGGTTGGCTGCTGACCAGACTACTCGGGGCCCTACTGCTCCAGTCAGCCTGGTATGCAGTGGTGGTAGCCAGTATAGAGATACCTCCAGATTGGACAGATGCCTCCAGGCTGGTATGAGGTAACAGAGGGAAGGCAGGGCTGGGGCAGATGGGCAGAGGTCCTGGGCTAGTGTCTGCATTCTGGCAGTGTGGCTGACGATGTGGATAAGCACCCTAGGACCTGGGCTGGGTGACCACCCTGCTCTCATCCTGCTGATAGTGCACTGGGCCATGCCCCACAGAGCTGCACGGCGCTGACCCTGGCTGGGGTGAGGGGCCCCGAGCTCCAGGAGACTCTGCCCGGGTGGATAACTGTCAAGTGGTGGGGCTGGACCCCCACACTATGCCTGCCCCCATCCTGTGCTTGTTGCCCTAACTATGCCACCCACACTCAACAACTGTCACAGTCCTAATGTCCACTTGTGGCCCCAGTAGGGGCAGGGCAGGGCTTCATTAGTGGATATTGATGGCTCTGCCTAGCTCACACCCACCCCCCCATACAGAAAGCTAGGGCCTCGATTTCCCCCCGGGAAGCACTGTCCCTAACTCCTGGCTGTGTAGTGTCAGAGGCCTAGGTTCCCTGTGTTGCCCTAAGCCTTGCTGGCAGAGTCTTGCAGGCCCCTTGGCCACAGTTATTTCAGGGAGGGGCTGTGAGCCTAGTGGGAACAGTCGGAGCTGAGGGAGAACCGTTCCGTGCTGTGTGCTCCAGGGGCAGGGGCCTGGCAGGATGAGCCCCGGGGGTGCACCTGGCCTGAGCAGCATAGAATTGACGCCTTCTGTTATGTCTGTTAGCTGGTGCCTAGGGGTCTCCAACCAGGGCTTCTTAACCTGTCTGGGCAGTAGTATCACCCTAAACAAACACCAACGCCCAGATGGTCATGACTCAGGCCAGCATGGACATCAGCATTTTAAAAGTCCTCAGATGGCTTCACCCTGAGGCCAGCACTGGTTTTCTGAAATCTCAGAGCCCGAAAGAGCCAGTGGAGGTCAGACGCCCCGTAACTACTTTCCCCTAGAATGGGGTATCCTGTGGCCAAACAGTCATCTCATCATTTCTGGAGAAACAGTGGCGATCCGGGGAGAAGAGTTGAGAACAGAGTGATGGGGCATCTGGGGAGTTTTATGCTCTCTTCAGATCAAGGGCCTCAGCGCTGGCTGATCCAGAAACCCCCTTGCCATCCCCTTATGCTCCGTAGTCACCAGAGAAGTGAGTGCCAGGAAGGGCCACAACACACACATGGTCAGCAGGCCCCAGCCACAGCCTGTGACTCCCAGGAATCACACTTCTGCAAGACCTGTCAAGGCTCTTCAGTTCCAGCTCCTCATCTGGTCTCAAGTGCTCTGGCTTTTCCTGGGGTCCTGTTGCTCAGTCACCTTGGGAACCTGGCTGATGTGAGTGTGTGGTCTGTGTCCTGGAGGTGTATAGGTCCAGGCCCAAGTAGGAAACCAATGGTACCCAGATGAGGGCTGACTCAGGAGGCTCCAGCAGAGGGAGTGTTTGCAAGGGGTGGTGAACAGGGGCAGGGGCACCATGGGGCCACATGTGTGTGAAGCTGGAACATTGGCACTGTTTCCTCTGCCAGGCCAGCAAGATGGCAGACACCAGGCCCAACCAGGGCAGCACAGAAGGGGCTGAGAGGCAAGACCCAGGGGATCATGACATCTGTCACCAGATACAGTCTGAGGAAATCCTCCCAACAAGAGCTGGGGACTCCAGCTCACACCACCCACAGGGGAGTGTGTAGGTTCCCTGATTATGGTACAGAGTTTCAGGATGTGCTAATGAGAGACAAGGGAAGGTTTGTTAGGCAGAATTCAAGAAGTCCACACTCTGAATAGGGTGCATGCCCTCAAGATAGGCACGGTATGGTCTGGAGCTGGAAGTTTTATGCAGTCTCGGGGGTTGTCCTCAAGACTGGTGATCTAGGCTGTGTGTTCCTCTTGCCTGTTGGGGTGCCCACTTGGTACCCATTAGAATGCAGATCATTTCCATGTGTTTCAAGTTTAGCGAGATGTGGCCCTGTTGGAAAATAGAGGTCTGTGGAAGGGAAAACCTAGGCTCAGGTGACAAGATTGGGCCCCATTTGCTGGGTTATCATACCTTTTTTGGTGTTTCCTGGAGGAAAAACATTGTAACCTCAGCCACTCCATCCTGAAGCTGCAGTTCTTTTTTTTTTTTTTTTTCTCTCCACATCCAAAGATTTATTGACTTGACAACAATACAAAGTGACATTATCCTGAACGAGAGAGAACCCTGGTGTGTGAAGTCTAAAGCTAATACGCTTTTAAAAAGCTGTCAAAGCCAGGGATATAGTTCAGAGGCACAGTGCCTGCCTGGCAAGCGCAAGATTCTGAGTTCGATTTCTGGTACCCCACCTCCAGAAAAAAGGAAAAGAAAAAAGAAAAAGCTGTCAAATACTACAAACATCACAAAATGCAGAAATAAAATCACAATGTTTTGATTAGTAAACTAAGAACTCTTCTAGGAAACTTTCTTTTTTCACCCTTCCTATGATCTGTCATTTATTTTGCTTTTTATTTATATTTTGGTTTTCTCACACAAAAGAAACCATGCTATATTTAAGCTGTGTATCTGATTTATTTCACATTATGGTCTCAAGGTACATCCATTTTCCTACAAATGACTCAATTTTATCCTTCTTTACGGCACAGTAGTACTGTGTATAAATACCATATTATCCTTCTTTATGGCAGAGTAGTACTGTGTGTAAATACCACATTTTCTTTATCCATTCATCTACTGGTGGACATAGAGGCTGCTTCCAAGATTTAGCTATTATGAACTGCGCTGCTATTGTTAGGGCACATTGCCAGAAACAACACTCAAGGAGGGTGAGAATCAGATACAAGTGAGCTTTATTTAGGCAGCAGAGACAGGAATGTGGACCCTGAGAGAACTTTCTACTGAGTTTTAATACGTTTGTAGGTAACCATAGCAACTATATTACTTTACTTTTGGGATTTTACAAGTAGGTCATAGGTGTACATTCCCAGGGGTTTGTTAGTCAAGCAGGATACAGTTTAAATTTTAGTTTACCCCACAGTTTGTCCTGTTTGTTCCTTAAGTTAACGACCTCTTCATCCCCTGTGGATTTTATGGCTAACTAAATGGGAGGAGATGAGGAATGGGTTCATCTAAAGTTTAAGTGACTTCTAAAATGGAGTTCAGGAACAAAATGGAGTCACACCAGCCATGTCACTATAAACATGAGTATGCATGTGTCATTGTAATTCTTTAAATCTTTTCGGAAGATACCTAGAAGGGGAATAGCAGGGTCAAATGGAATTTCAAGTTTTAGTTTTTTGAGGAATCTCCATATTGATTTCCACAGTGGTTGTACTAGTTTACATTACCACCAACAATGCAGAAGAGTTCCCTTTTGAAGCCTCATCAGCATTTGTTATTATTTGATTTCTTGATGATGGCCATTCTCTCTGGGGTAAAATGGAATCTCAATGTTGCTTTAATTTGCACTTCTATAATGGTCAGAAACACTGAACATTTTTAAATGTGTTTTTGGCCATTTGTACTTCTTCTGAGAAGTGTCTATTCATTTTAGTTGCCCACTTTTTAATTGGGTCTTTTGTTTTTGGGGGGATCTAATTTTTTTTAGTTCTTTATATATTCTAAATATGAGTCCTCTGTCCAATAAATAGCTGGCAAATTTACCCGCATTCTGTAGGTTTTCTCTTCACTGTATTGGTTGTTTCATTTGCTGTGCAGAAGCCTTTTAATTTGTTGATTCTTGGGTATTATTTCTTGTTCTGGGGTTCTGTTCAGAAATCCCTTGCCTACACCTTCTTCAAGAGTTTTACCTATTTTATCTTCTAGCAGGTTCAGTGTTTATTTTAGTGTTTAGATAACTGCATTACTTTTCTGTTGCTGATTTTATTTTTCTTTTTCCTCTTTTCTGCTTAACTATTCACTCTGCCTGGTATATTCATCTTATTGGGTTTTTGTGTGTTTTTTTCTTTTTTGGCAATTTTGGTTTCATTGTTTCTTTAAAGGACATACATGAGAATTTTTGGGGGTTACTGGTTTGGTGGTCATGAATTTCTTGAGGTGCTGTCTGTCACAGAAATACCTTGTTTCACCATCAATTTTGAAGTGAAGTTTTGCAGTATATGTCTGGTTGGAAAGTTATTTTTAGGGCTTGAAACACTTTACTCTAAGCTTTCCTGACCTTTAAGGTTGTGTTAAAAATTCTGTTGTAATTCTAATGGGTTTACCTTTATCAATGATTCATTGCTTTTCTCTAACCACTTTTAAGATTCTGTCCCTGTGTTGGACTTTTGGTATTTTGACTATCATGAGATGTGGAGAGGTTCTCTTTTGATTGTGGCTCTTCAGGGTTCTTTTTTTTTTTTGTACCAGGAATCGAACTCAGGATCTTGTGCTTCCCAGGCAGGCACTTATGCCACTGAGCAATATCCCCAGCTCTACTTTGGGGTTCTGTATGTAGCACGTATCTGTACGTTTATTTCTTTCCCTGTATTTCAGATTTTTTTTGCTATTATTTCTATATATTTTTATTTTTTGCTATTATTTCTATAAAAGTTTTTTTATGCCATTTGTACTGTCTTCTATTTTTTCACTTATTCCAATTAATCTTAGTCTTCTTTGTGTAAGCTAGTAGTTATTAGATCCATTTTTCATCTTCTCTTGCAGTTTTTAAGGTATCTCTGAGTAATTGGTCTTTGAAAGCATCTCTGTCTTCTAATTTGTATATTCTTTTCTCACACTGGTGGCTTCCGCCACCTGTACTTTTAATATAATTTTTAATCTCCTGAATTTCCACTTGGAACCTTTTCATGGAGTCTAATTCTTTGCTGAACTGGTTGTTCATGTTTTATATCATTTTGTTTAGCCCAGCTAGCTTTTTATTAGTGTCTTCTGTAAGCTCTCTGATCATTTTGTGTAATACAGTAAAACCTTGGACTGTGGGTAACTTGTTCTGCAAGTGTTCCACAAGATGAGCAAACATTTCTAATAAAATTTAACTTGATAAATGAGTGATGTCTTAAAATATGAGTAGTATGTGATGCTGAACATTACATGATCACAACTGAGCCAATGGTTCTTCTCTCTCTCTTTTGCTGTGGCATTGTGAGTATCTCCCAACAACAAGAGATTATAGAGGAGATCTTGTCTGCAGAGGAGGAGAAAAAGGCAGAGGAATCTCTCACTTCAAATGAGATTAGGCAGATGTGTAAAACGTGGGAAACAGTGCAAAATTTGGTAGAAAAGCACCACTTGAATAAGGCTGTACCAGTGCGAGTGATAAATCTGGTTAGTGACAAGGCAGTGTCACATTTCTGAAAAATCCTCTAAAGGAAGTTTGTTAAAGTTGCATGAACAGAAAAAGATTATATTGAGCCAAGAGATAGCTGTGATTCTGTTAGTGATAGTGAAAATTGTCCTGACAACAGTCGTCCTCTCTCTGTCTTCCTCCCACCAGCCAGGAAGGTTTTCAAGGTTAAGTGTAGGTTAATTTTTTAATATTTTGTATCTACTTCATTATTTTTATTATATTACAGTCTTGTAAACATTTTATATGAATAGTTTTGGGTTGTACAACAAATCATCTTGAGTTTCTGTTATTTCTTATGGGGAAATTCATTTTGATGTGCAAGTGCTTTGGATTACAAGCATGTTTCTGGAACAAATTATGCTCACAAAGCAAGGTTTTACTGTACTTCCATTATCTGTTTAGTTGTATCTTCTATGATCTCACTGAGCACCTCATTGACCTGTTTTTTAGTCTCCTCTCTTATACTTTCAAATAGCTCAGCTGTGTGGCTTATGCTTTCTGCCCCCTTGATGCTCCCAGAATAAGGTTTGGGGGGACTGGGAGTTTTGGGAAGCCTTTTGTTGCTTCATCTCCTATTTCCATTGGAGCTTTTTTGTATATTCATTCTTTTGTTTTTTGTTTTGTGGTTAGGTTTTCAGGCACTTATAGTGGGGAGAGTTTGCAGCTAGTATGGAGATCTCTTTATTTAGCCTGCTTTTCAGTGATACACTCTGGGGATGAGTAACTATAGTCCTTTGCTTCTGTTCCAAGATCCAGCCACCTCTGTTAATTTGGGAGGGGAGAGTGCAGTGCAATTAGCCCAACTCCCAGTTCTCTGGGAATAGACCACAGTACAGTATTGTCCATGTCACAAAGGTTAGCAACAGTTATGCAATCCTGGCAATATCAAGCAAATCAGCAATAGTAACACCATCAAACAATTTGGTTTTTTTTTTGTTTTTGTTTTTGTTTTTCTAGTACCGGGAATTGAACTCATGACCTTGCACTTGCCAGGCAGGCACTGTGCCACTGAGCTAAATCCCCAGCCCCACCATCAAACAGTTTGAATATTGACACACTAAAAGAAACAATAATATACCACCTTTAACCATAGAAAAGAAATCGGCAATTATAATATACACACTAAGACAACCAAGATAACAGAACAACTATACCTCCACTAATGACAGAAAAGAATTCAACAGTAATATTAGAGTTAATTGACTAGCAGAAGGTTAATAAAACTTGTTATATTATTAAAGATACACAGTGATACCTTAGTTCATGAACTTAATTTGTTCTACATTCTGGAAAAATGGCCAGGTTCATGTTCATCACTTGATGCAGAGTTTGCAAACAAAAACAAATGTTTCATTTGTGGACCAAATTGCTCACAAATAAAAGTGTTCACGAACTGAGGTACCACTGTAGGGGTGTGGTAATGGGAATATGCAAAAGGAAAAATTCAAAAAATTAAACAATGGAAGATGAGAAGGAAGAGAGAGAAGTGAGATGAAGGATCCTACTGAGTAGAATTAGAAAATGGTAAAAATAACAATAAAAACCAAACAAGAGATAGAAGATAAAAGAAAAAAAGGAAGGAAAGAAGAAGAAAATAAGAAATGATATGGAAAATAAAAGAAAAAGTTAAAAGGAGAAAAAGGAAGAAGAAAAAAGAAATAACAAGGAGGAAAGACAAAGGAAAATTTCTTAGATCCCAATAAACCACTGAAGAAGAAAGAAGAAAGGAGGGTAAAAAAGAGAGAAAGGGAAAAAAGTCCAAAAACAGGAAAAAAATTCTCTATATTTTTGAATGAGTGGTTTCCTTCCTGGATCTGCAGTTTTAGAATCCAGCATTCCATGGTGTTCTTCACCCATCCTTACAACCTGCAGGTTTTTGAGTTGTCCCTCCACAATTTCTGTTATCCCCAGGGTGTCACAATTTTCAAGTTGAGACATATCCTCACTCACACCAGTAGATAAGGAATGCAATCAGACCCCAGATCAGTGCTGAATGTAGGAGGTAAGGTGAGGGCTCAAGCTATCAATGCTTGCATTTGCAGACCCAGTGCAACTCAAACTGGGCTGGCCCTCCCACTATGGGGGGTAGGGCTCATGCCCTTCCTAGCCCAAGCTCAAACCCCTCAGAGCAGTGGTGGCAAACCTATAGCAGCAGTACTGCAGTAGGCACACAGAGTCCTCTCTGTCAGCATGAAAGCCAAGTTGGCCCAGCATTGCCCCAGCAGCCATGCATCGGATAACAGCACACATAGGGTCAGTATTGGCATTTTTCTATAAATAAGTGGATTTGGAATTGGAGTTTGGGCATTTGATCTCTAAAAGGTTCACCATCAGTGACTTAAGGGGTCTCTTTCCAGCCTGCTCCCTGTCTGTGGCTGTCTCATGTGGCTGTCTCTCGTTCAGTCACTGTGGGAAGGTAATAGCAGGAACCCTGAAGTGAATCCCTCCCTGAGCTGTTCTGAGTCCCAGATTCAAACAATCAATCCCTTCCCAAAATGGTGCCCAATTAAGCACTCTGTGGCAGTATGGCAGGTCCCTGTGCTGGGATCCCTCTCTAGCTGTTGCCTGTTGTGTGGAAGGAGTCCCCTTGGAACAAAACCCAATGCTGTCCCTATAGATGTGGGCTTCCTCAGAAGCTGTCACCAGCCCAGTCCACAATGCTGTTTTCCCCTGGAGCCCCTGGAAGTCACCTTGCTTCTAAAGAGCCAGGCTCCCCACTCCATGTGCTGCAAGCAGAGAGCTGGGCAGAATCTAGACCAGTAGTGGCAAACCTGTGGCTCACATATTATTTGTTTCTCTTTAAAACAAAAGATGATATATGAGTTGTTTTTTCTAAACTAAAACTTCAGTAGTATTCAGGTTTAATTGCAGCGTTGGTGCTTTATGGTAAATAAGTGGGTTTTGGATTGCAGTTTGGCACATGTCTCTAGAAGGCTCACCAGTACTGGTCTAGACTGTCCTATTTCTTTCTCTGCATTGTGGTCTATTTCTCAAACTTCTCTGTAGCTTTTAATTTTCCTGTCAGTTCTTTCCAGATTCTTTGCAATCTACTTTTCTGTTTTTCTTTCCCGAGTTGCTACTTTCTGTTGTCTGAATTCCAGATCTCAGACAGGCTGAATTTTGCTGCTGCTCACCACTCTGCCATTTTGATTCTCCCCTGCAGTTTCTTTTTTTAAGTACTGTTTTATTTTGCATTACTGAGGATTGAACCCAAGGCCTTTACAGTAAGCTATATCCCCAGAGGGCCCCCCTTCCCCTCTGAGACAGGGTCTCACTAAATTGCTCATGCTGGGCTTGAACTTTTGATCCTCCTGCCTCAGCTTTCCAGAATGCTGGGATTACAGGTGTGTGCCATCATGCCCAGTTTAATCCTGTTTGGGTCTCCAGGGGGCAATCTCAGAGGATACTAATGTGTCTGGAGAACCTGAACAGGTGAGGAGAAGAGTGGAGCTCAAGAGCAAAGGCCACATGACATGACTGCTATTGTACCTGCACTCCTAGTTCCTCCTCCCCATCTGGCTACACTGCCTCTCTCTTCCCTTCCTAGGGTGCCTGAGGCCAATGTGAAGACTTCCATACCTCCTTGGAAATGCATATTTACCATACACACAGCAGGTGGGCCCAGATCCCTTGCCTGAGTGCTGCTCACCCCCAAATCTTCTGGATGTCCCCACTGAGATGGGCAGCAATGAAGCCAGTAACTAGGTTCCTGCTTTGCATGTAACTTCCTAAGGCCCTCACGTGGGCTGACACATCCACTATTTGCTTCAGTCCCAGATCACCTTCCTTTCCCAGAGGAAGTGGAAGACGGAGGTTAGAGGATTTGTCTTGGCCACAGGAAGACAGAGACAGAGGAGGGGTGGAGCCTGCTCCGTTAGTCACTGCTCCTCCTGTCCTTCGGGGAGCTGGACTGGATGAAGTTTTCAGGGAGGCTTCCCACACACCCTACATGGTGCATAGGTCGCCCCTCATGAGGTTGGCTCTGTGCCTTTGCAACCCAGTGGGACAGAACCTGTCACCAGGGGCAGTGCCCTTCACATAGCCAACGAAGACCTGGAAACAAAGGAGACTCATTTCCTTCTGACACTTTATTATAGTTTATAAAACAAATGGATTTGGAGGGCAGGAACACAATCATTATGTTGACAGTAGCAAATGCTGAGGGAAAGGCTAGCTTTAAAATCTTTAAAAATCACTGTGTGAAAATGCTGCTCCACTCTGGGCCAACAACACATTAGAAATGCTTCAATTTAGTGACTGTCCCACGTCCTCCCCACTCCTAAGTTCATCTCTACTTTTAAAATCACACAACCCAACATCACTGACATTTGTTGAGGGGTTCAGACTGCCCAGCAAGGCATAGGTACAAGAGATGTGGGTCTTCCAAGTTGTGCCCAGCAGGAGCTGAGCTCCAGAGAAATGTCACAATAATGTGGCTTCTCTTCTGCTGTTCTCCTGAAGTGTGAGGATGAGACAGCCAGAAGAGAGCTCACTGACTAGCTCTTCTAGGCAGGCATCCTAAGTTCCTAAGTGGAAGAGGTGTGTGAAGGTTAACACGGCCAGTCACAGCCCTGGGGCCTCCCCTCAACATGGTGCCTCTGCTATCCTGAAGGGTGACATGGGGTGAGGTAGTTGCCATGGGGAGGAGAGCTATGATGTCCCTTCTCCACGTCAGTCCCACCAGCCTCTGCCCTGATCCCCTGTCTCTGCCCCAGAGTCTCAAGAGGACACAGCAGGGACCTAAAAGGAGCCAAGGTCTGTGTGAAGTGTCCACTGGGAAGAGGTGGTAGTGGAGACCCCAGGAGATGACGGGGATGATCTCCAGAACAGAGCAGGCCTGGGTCAAGGCTCAACTGCAGGGCTACGGGAAGCTAGGGCCCCTCCTGGGAGTAACACATTCAAGTCATTCGTAAGTCTTGAAGGACATGGCACTTTCTGGAAGTGGCTAGAAAACAGCAGCATGCCAAGGACTCAGAAACTTCTACTGTGAACTGGCTTTGCCAACTGTGGCTGCTTAGTGACAATTTCCTTGAAGCTGGGAGCAAATTTGTTGTGACTTTGCCCTGTGTGATAAGATCTGGTGATTCTGTTTTATGCGAGGAAACTGCCTCAATAAAAACAAGTTAATAATTAAAACCTCAAAGTGCTATATAGCACTTTCAGAAGGGAGGAAGTTGAGTCCTTGGCAAGGGAAGTTCTACCGTTTCATGTGTGGCTCTCTGGGAAGTGTGGGCAGCGTGTCCCTACAGGCTACCCTCACTGTGCCTGTATCCTGCAGTGTAAACATTAACTCCCAAGGTTGGCAGGACACATGGAATGCCCAAGGCTCCCAGAGGAGCACGAAGTGGGGTGGTCTGGAGTCCCTCCTGGGCAGGCACACTTCTTGCTCACCGCTGTTCCCGGTGCAGGGCACAGCGTCTAGCATTGCAGGTGCTCCAGAAATAGGTACTGAACAGAGAACTCACGGGAAGTCAGGAAAGACAGGTCAGATGGAAGAGCAGGGCAGAACTCAAGGCCAGGCCCCTATCAAGGTGTCTATATATAGTGATTAATGTCCACCACCAGGTGGCAGTGCTGAGAGGCTCTGGCAGAAAAATCCTGAGGGGCCATCCCAGCTCCAGGACATCACACCTCCCATGACACGTTCAGCTGCTTCACATGCCCTGGGTCTGAATCCCCATTCTGGAAATCCCTAAGCTAGGCACACACTTCATGGTTACAAAAAGAACAAGACAAAACAAAAGTGCAGTCCTTTGGTTTTTATAAAACCTCAGTTCCATTGCAGCGAAGACTGTCTCTCTCAGCCGTGACCGACGTCGGAATGCCTTAATTTAAATGAATTCTATTCCTTCGTACTTCACGCTTCCAATCTTGGTCTCTGGCAGCAGGAAGCGCCCGTCTAGTGTGAAGGCCATGATGTAGGTGGCCACCTTGCCGCTGTCCTCTTCAGACTTGAGGGCCACAATGATCTGGTCGTCAGTGTTGGGGATGAACTTGAAGGACGAGAAGCCATGCGTGGGGACCACCTCACCCACGTGGCGGACGGAGATGTCCCCGAAGTCCTGGGCAGCGCTCAGGAGGAGGTTGGTGCCCTTGTGCTCATCGTCCTTCTCACTGTACCGCTCACGGCTGGCCCGGCGCGGCAGGAAGAACCAGCGCTGCAGAGTGTCGCTCCAGCAGGCCGATTCGTGGATGAGGTAGCCTGGGACACAGGACAGACTCGCGGTCACTACACATTAGAGACTGCCTGGCCCTTCGTCTCCAGGGCCAGCCCCTCTCATGGCCAGGGACGCAGAGCAGTGGCAAGCCCCACCCAGGACGACCCTGGGGACAGTGTCATCCCTCTGGACCTCAGCTTCCCAGAGGGGTTCAATCAGAGGCTGCTCTCAGCTCCGCAGGGTGATGGGCAAGCACGCAGAGGAGGAGAACACTGCACCAAGTCTTCAGTGCCATGTCCCCCACAGGCTGTCCCCAGAGAGAGCCACAGGCTACCAGGAGTCCTGTCTTTACTTTGTTTCCTTGGTGCTAATCAAGAGGGAGAGGAAAGAGAGTTCAGGAAGGGGATAAAATAAACAGAAGTCTGATTTGTGGAAAGATGAACCGGGTGAGGGGAGGCAGCCCCAAGGTTGAAAGAGGCACTGTTCCTCTCCCCTCTCCTTTCCTCTCCCTCCTCCAGGACTAAGCTCTTGCCAGGCCACCCAGACACAAACTACAGGGACTCTTGGGAGGTCATGAGCAAGGTAGGCTGCTCTCTGCGATGAAGGGGCCTTAGGCCATCTGTCAGGGTCAGTGGCAAGAAAGAAAATGACTCATCTGCTCCAGAATCCACTGGCCTGAGGGAGCAAAATCCAAGACTGAGCAAGGCAGGACATCACTGCTCAGGGAGCACGCAGAGAGTGCACAGGTCTAGAGGGACCCAATTCCCGCTGGACAGCCACTCGGCCCTGGGCTGGGTCTCAGCTGGCGTCTTACCTGGTGGTCGGATTCCTGCAGCGGCGCGCAGAGCGTTGTAGCTGGACACCCAGTTCTCATGGTCCACGCTGCCCTTGTGGCCGACCACCTTCACCCACTCTGGGTTCTCATTCACCACTTCCCCAGTGGCCGTGGTCCACTCCTTGCCCAGGCCGCCCACATACAGCTGCTCATCCTTCACAGCCAACCACTCAGCTTTGAAGCCTGGGGCAATGACAGCAGGGTATGCCTGAGAGATGCCACTGTCACTGGGGCCCTTGGGTCCTTGGACATCAGATGTCTCTGCTCTTGAACTTCACTGGAGGCAAGGACAAGAGGCCAGAGCAGAAGCCTGCACAGAGCCTCATACCCAGGGGCCTGAGTCAGCACCCACCTCCCTTCTGTTTTCCTTCTCTCTCCCTGGCCTCCAAGGGCCGTTCCATTTCCCCTGGCAACCTATCTAGGACCTCCTTCACTGTGGCTCTACCCTCCCCTTGGCTCCCAAAGGCTGGCAGCTGCTCTCCTCAAGCTCTTCTGGCCTCTGACCCCTCCTGGAGCTGTGACCCCAGCTCTCCAGTGCTGGAGGAATGACCGAGGACCTGTTCTGCAGGCTTGTCACAGGATGTATCTGCTGCCCTGCAACGACAGCTATTATTTCCCTGTGGGTCAATGGACTGACTAGGAGTGCTTGGCACTGCCTTCATTTCAGAGTTTATTCAGGGGCTGGATTTATCCCCACAGACTTAGGTAACACGGGCCTAGTTTTACAGGCAGCAGCACAGCTCAGGTCAGAGGGAGCCTCTGGCCTTCCAGCATACTGCTATTCATCCGATGTCCCAGGGTCTGACTTGTACTTGCTTTCCCAAACACCCTGCAAGCTTCTTGGCTCCCAAGAAGCTGGAGCTGCAGTCTTCCCCCACTGGAGGACAGCAGACTCGGGAACACTTCCTCACAGGTAGCGCCGGAGCAAGCTGCTGAGCTCCTATGGCTCTGCGACCTGCGCAGCCTCCTGAGCCACTTTCATGGTAAGATGCTTCATTTCCTGGAGCTCCATCATCCTTCTGGATGACATGACCCCAGGCCAGGCCCAGAGGCCCTGTCATCCCTTTCTTCCTGCCAGCTGGGAAGAACAGAACTGCAGCAGGGTGGGCTAAGACTGAAGGACATGAGGGAGGAACTGAGTGACCAGCATTCTCCTTGACACCTATGTGGAGATCTGGTCTCTACCAGCAGCCCCAGCCTTGGGCAAATATGGAAGAGGTTTTGTTACTGGGAAGATGGGGTAGGCAGGGCCACCAGGGTCTTCCTTGGTAAAAGCCTGCACTTGTGGCTGGTTTTCTAGAAGCAGCAGCTACACGGAAGTCTCGGACAAACACAGCATTTGTCAATCTTCTGCTGATGCCCTTCGTACCTCACAGGCCACTTCCTAGTGTGAGGGCTCCAGCAGCTGTCCCCGCCATGGGGAAGCAGTCACTCCTACTGGGTAAACATTGGGGCTGGCCAGATTCTGCTCACAGGCAGATCCCTTCTGCAGGACCAGGAGGGCAGGCCAGGCAGCAGCTGACCTATTGAGGTCAAAGTCTCAGCTCAAACCTAGAAAATGAGACACCACACTTTCAAGGGGCAGTGCCTGGTGGGTGTAACTCCAGTGCAACCCTGAGACACTACAGAAGGCATGACAAGGGACAGGGAGGAAGAGTGCAGGGGGCCACAGCCCTAAAACTTATTCTGGGAGGAACTCCCCATGTGCTGGGGCTCTAGTCTAGAAACGACTTTGTGTGACAGTAAGATTTTGCTTAAGGCTGGGTATGGGGTACACAGGTTAGAGCAGAAAGGACAGTCCCTACCTTCCAGATTACTTTCCAACTATGAACCAAACCATAGCCAGCTAGCCCTGGGGACCCCAACATCTGGCCAAAGCTCTGTAGAGAGCAGCTCCATTTACCTTTCTCCACGGTTCCATCGCCGTCGGACAGAATCACCCAGGGCACAGCCTTGGTGCCTTCGATCTGGTAGACAACTCCTGTCCGGTCATCCACGGAGTAGAGTTTCCCATTGAACACGACCAGATCAGACAGCTCCATGCCCCTCCCCTTTTCCGCCAGGTGGGATTCCAGAACACTGTGGTCTTTGTCCCATTCCACAGCCACCTTATCCCCACTGTCTGACAGAGTCAGATAGCCCTTCTTCAGGTAGCTGAACCAGGTGTTTTCCTCCTGGGCTCTGGACTCTGTGTCCAGGTCAGCAATGACGGCGATTCGATATCGAATCCCGCCTGATGTCCTCTGCGGGGCTGAGAGGGGGTAAGTGTCATTGTATTGAGTGGCAGGCACCTGGCCGAGCCTCCAGTTGTGTGCATTGTGGGTGGGGGACCTGCCTGGAGCTGGGCGGTGGGAGTAGAACAGCCAGAAGAGGGCAACACCCACAAAGGACGTGAGGATCACCTTCCAGCGTGGGCGGAAGCGGGGATCTGCAGCCTTGGTCATGGACGCCAGCACAGGAAGGCCCCCCACACTTATCCGGAGGGAGTGCATAGGCTCATTCCATTCCAGGTGGTTGGAGGGCTGGACAGGCATCAGACTGAGTGTTGGGTGGGACCTGTGCACAAGGAGAGAGAAGAGTGGAGAGCGGTCAGCATATGGGCCACCACTTCTGGGCCACCTGAACTGCATGGGCTGAAGTCAGAACTCAGATCTGTCCAAGAGAAACAGTATTCCATTACTTCCATGGTGTGGTTAAATCCTGAATCCAGCAATATCTCTGTTTACTTTTATTCAGCAAGATGTAAAGTCTTCCAAAGCAAAATTATCCCATCTTCTGGTCCCAGCTAGCCAGACAGAAAGCTGAGTGTAAGAAAGAGGGTTTGTGTGGGATGGTGCCTTGCAGTCCTTGAGGGGAGGCAAGCAGGGGAGTCGGGGCGGAGGAACACGCAGGGTGCAGATCGGAACAGGACGAAGTCATCCCCTCATCCAGCCCTCCCTGACGTCACTGGCACCACATCACACAGTTGGCTTGCTCATTTTTACCCCTGGCTCCCAGACTATGCCTAGCACAGAGCACAGGAAGGCTCATTAGGTGACTGAGTCTCTATTTCCTGGGTTGGGTTTCTGTAATATTTAAATATTAAATAATGCTGAGCCAGATATAAACACTTTTCAGTTGTTTTTGGCAGAACCTGTTCTCTGGCACCCTTCTACTAATGCAAACTACTGCAGGGACCAGGGTCCCAGCTTCACAAGCTGCCTGGAGCCCCGCTCCACTGCACACAGGCTTGAAAGGACCTGTGGGGATCGCCACAGGGCTTGGCCTGGTCCCAAGCCTATGGGCCACACCCGAAGGCACTGCTCCAGGGCCATAGTGCTGGTAGACAGGAATTAGGCTCCTTACCTCCACCCTACCCCGCCTGCTCTCAGGCATACAGCACAATAGTTCAGTGTAGCCACAAGGTGCCAGGCCCAGGCCAGTGTCTGTCTTACTGCCACACTGGGACACTGGGAAGTGGGGCACAGCTGGCTGCTCTTGATGACTCAGTCCTGTACAGTAACCAGGACAGCACTTTTCTCCTGGACCATTGGAGCACCTTGTTGCTCCCCTACTCCTTGAGAAAAAAAAAAGAAAAAAAGAGAATACTAGGTATAGGGTTTATAGGGTACTGCCAGGCAACACCTGGGAAGAGCTGTGAGACCCAGCATCTCCATGTTGTCTTGGGCCCTCATGCACTCTTACCATAAGGGCTTGAGGCACCCTTGCTCTAAGCTGCAGGTCCCTACAGGGCAATGCTCCTTGTGGAAGCCTGTGCCTTCCTCTCCCTCTTCAGACAGACCTAGGTCTTAGTTCACAGGGTCACTTTCAAGGAGAAAAATGTGTGTGCACGTGGCCAGCTGCTCAGGGCATGGCTCGGAGAAGGTACCAAGCTCTTCCATGGCTGCAAGCACCCTGCAGGGACAGGCCTCTTGGGTACTCCTCCTGGGCAAGGCCTGGCCCTTGGCAATGGTTGCAAAGCTGGTCACTGAGGCCTTCCTGCTTGGGGGATGGAGCTCCTGATACACGAGGCTCCTCCTGTAGTTGAGCCCAGCTCTGCCTCTTTGTCCCTTCTCCAACCCCAGCAAGGGCCCAAGACTTCCAGTGTTTTGTCCTCAGCTCAGACACGGCCACTGAGCTCTGAATTCCTCTATCAGCTCCTATACAAAATGCTGCCTACACTTCCAACATACACCTTAAACACAGTATTTCAAAACATTAAGTCTTAATCTCTCTCCTCTCAAGCCTATTCACCTCCAGTCTGCCGTCAGGAAGTGGGAGAGGTAGCGGCGAGCAGGGGCTGCACAAGTAAAAACTCGCATGGAAACAGTAGGAGGTGCACTTTTCTGTATGTTAAACTTCCACAAAAATATTACTAAGCATACAAAAAAGGAGTGGCCTTGACCCGTTCCTTTCCCTTCCCCAACATCTACCCCGTCAGCAGGTCTACTTGAAGCTGTCCTACCCACTGGCGCCTGCCCATTCCATGGCCATCTCTAACCCTACCCCCACCCACAGCCTCCCTCCAATCTCCTTTGGCTGCTCTCTTCCCTGACCTCCCATTGCCACCCAGGGGCTGTGCCACTAGCTATATGACTCTCCCCTGGCTTCCTGTGTCCCAGGAACTGTCACTATGGCCTGACAGCCCTCCCCTCTCCCCAGTTTGCTGAGCCTCCCCTAGCCCGGGGCACTCTGAGCCTGCCCTTCACATTGCTTTCATGCTCAGAAACTCTCCCTGCGCCCTGCATACTCGAGGGTCTTCAGTACTTGTCCTTGCTCTGCCTGGAGTGCCATGGGGCAGGGCCTTGCCCTGCTGCATCCCTGGCATCCAGCTCACCACAGGTACCCAGGATCAATGCACCACACATTTGCCCAAGGAATAAAAAAATGAATCCCAGGATGTATCATTAAGTTATTTCTTCAACAGCCCCTCAACACACTGTGCCCCTAGGGCTCCCACCTTAGCCATCCTGCAAATCCGCAGGCCCAGATCAAGCTCCTGATGACTGAGCCACTCAGCTGCCACATCTGAGCCGCAGATGCAGGGAAGACAGTGCTTGCCAAGTAAAGTGTGATATCAACTGTGACATGCCAGCCTCCCTGGAACCCTCACAATGGTCCCTGCCCAACTCCTCTATCCTGTGAGTCACCAGCCCATCTTCATGCTGTCCAGTCTCTAGCCACCTGCTCCCAGGTCTGTGACTCCCGCTGCAGTCCAGGCCTGGGCACGGCCCACACCTGCAAGCCTTTGCTCTGTTCCTCGGGCAGTGCACTGCCTCCTCCAGCTCCTCCTCAGTGTGCAGACATCCTGTCTCCACCTCGCTTCCCATTTGCTCTCCAGACTCCAGCTCACGGATGCTGCAAGTACGTGTACAACTATGGCTAAACAAAGGGCAGAGATGTGAATCCATGAAGGAATGAAAATCCTTCCCATGTCCCTGCCACGCCCCTCACTTCTGCCCACTACCTCAGAAACACCATGCTCACATGTGCTCCCTTCTCTCTAGCTGCTCAGTGCCTGGGGGCTGCACTTTCCAAGTGTTATCTGTACCTCTCTGCGTCCTGTCTCTCCTAGGGTCAGGGAGGTCTTCCAGACGGACCCCTGCCAGCTCTGTGCCACCCTCCTCACTCTGTAGTTCTCCAATGACCTTGGGCTCTCCTAGGCCTTGACATCTGTGAAGAAGACCCTGTACCATTGTAGCTTAAGCCTTTTGCCCGAGAGGCAGGGCAGTGCACCTGCCTACTGAGCCCACTTCTCCCACCTGTGGGTCCCAGCATGCTACCCCAACTGAGCACATTTAAGCACTCAGGAGCCCCACATGCACCCCACACAGGCACTAGGTCCGCTCACTTGTCCCCACCCCACGCCTCTGCCCCAGTCCTGTCTCACCTTGATGACTCTGAAGGCTTCCGAATGATCCAGACCTTCCCTCTGCCATTTACTAGTTATGCGACCTTGAGCAAAAGACTTCCCTTCTCTTGGGAGGGGAAGAGTTTCCCTTCTGGGGCCATGCTGCTGGCCAAGTCAGGGGACAGGACTTCCTGCAGCACCTGGCCACTACCATTCTTATCAACAAACACCTTGACCCCTGTCACAGCCTGGAGAAGGTCTCACCTCCCTTGAGCTCTCAACCTGCATAACACAGGATTATCTGCAATTCCAGACTCCATGTGTCCAGATCTCTACCTGTGGGGCTACCTTTACCTGCTGATCTCCCCTGACCACATGGAACCAGGACCATCTAGAATTCTACACTTCTATTGTTCCTTCTCTTTCTGTCCTGTATCTATGGTAAGGACCCTAGCCCCACCCTCCAGCAAACTGGTATTAGCTCCAAACATTCAGGAACTTGGGGAGGTGACCGCCTATGGAAGCGTAGATTTAGCAGATGTGATCAAGACCTTGGGGGTGCTGTCTGGGTGGGCCCTAAATACAGTAAGTGTCCTTCCATGAAAGGAAGGCAGAAGGAGACTGATGTGGACAGAAGAGAAGGCCACACAATCAAGGAGGCAGAGGCTGGACAGATGAGGAATGCTGGGGACCCTAGAAGCTGGAAGACAGGAATGGATTCTTCCCCAGAGCCCCCAGAGGGAGTGAGGCCCTAGGACACCTGGGTTTCGGTCCAGTGGCACTGACACTGGATTCAGGATCTCTGGGACACTGAATTTCTGGTACCACAAGGAACAATAGTATGGAAAGCTGTAAGCTACTGTTGTTGTCATTACTGCAGCACCCTAGAAAAAGATACCTGTTCCCACAATGTTCTTTGGATTGCCTGCCCCTGGCCCACAGTGGTCTGTTCCAAGTCAGACTCTGAACTTCATACTTAGCTCCCAGAGGGAGGGCCTCTACCTTGGCCACTTCAACTCCCCAAGAACACCAGGCCACTATATTAGTCACTTTCCTATCACTGGAACAAAATACCTGACATCCACAACTTAAGGGAGAAGAGGTTTATTTTAGCTCATGGCTTTTGGAAGATTCAGTCCACAGGTGGCTAGTTCCAAGGCAGAAAGGATGTGGTGAGGACCTGGGCAGAGGACAGCTGCTCTTCCCTTGACAGCCAGGAAGCAGGGTGAGAAGGGAGGAGCCAGAGACAAGAATATCCCCTTTCAAGTCAAGAATATGCCCTTTCAGGTCTTGCCCCTAGTGATCTGCCTCTCCTGGCCAGGCCCCACCTCCTAACAGCAACACAGCTAGGTGCTCAATGGACTAGTCTACTGAATACAGTGCCCCACGATCCACTCACCTTCCAAAAGCCACACCTCTGCAAGTGAGACCTCTGGGGGATATTTCAGACCTCAACCATAACAGACAGGGACAGGTGGGATCCAACCACCTGTGGTTAGTGGAAAGTGACTGCTTTCACTGCAGTAGGACTCAGCCTACTTTCTGGAAAACACAACTCCCGAGTATCCTCCCTTGGTCTCTATCCCTTCTTCAGTACCCATGGAGATGCTCCCCTTCCCTCAAAAACAAAGTCCCAAATCAGTTGCCTTTTCACTTGATCCACAACCCCATCCTGGTTTGTCACCTGAATGACTGTAGAGGAAAAACGTGCATTTCTATTTATTTTTTTATTTTTAAGAAGTTTTTGTTGCCTTAGTTAACTTGGTTTATTTAATTTTATTTATTTATTTATTTATTTGGCACCAGGAATCGAACTCAGGACCTTGCGTTTGCCAGGCAGGTGCTTGTGCCACTGAGCTATATCCCTGGCCCTCCATTTAAAAAGATAGTTTTGTTGTTTCTTGTTTTTCACTTTTTTTTTTTTTTGGTTTTTTTCTGGTACTGGGAATCGAACTCATGACTTCGCACCAGGCAGGCGCTGTGCCGCTGAGCTAAATCCCCAGCCCCATTGCTAAATCCCCAGCCCTTTGTTTTGCACTCCTGCCAGCCATGAGCAATAGAAGTGAGCAGGGGGAAATGAGACAAGATGGACAAGGTCAGTCCCAGATGAAAGGGGCTACCTGAGCTTGTCTTCTCTTCTCTTGTTGGAGAACGAAGCCACTTACACATTTGCTTTATTGTGACAAGAAGTCTGTCAATCTCCCCTGTAGTATCACGTTCTGACTTGACAGATCAAGACAAAGAGGACCAAGAAGTCGCAGGCTGCTGGGCCAGCCAAGAGCGCTGGGCAGGAAGCCTGCAAACAGTCTTAAAGGCAGGGAAGCCTGAGAGCCACACCCTGCTGCTCCTTCCTTCTTCCTCTGGGTACAACAACCCTAGAAAGAGCCACCAGGAGGGACAGCTACCTGAAAGCTCTTGCAAGGCTCCCAGACCTAATTTTTTCTCCCCCGTCCACCCCAAAGGAGAGGGGAGCAGCAGTGTGTTCTCTGCGCACACCCAGGAAGCTGCTCCAGGCTGCTTCCCTATCCTGGGAGCGAGTAGCACCCTACTATTAAAGAGCCACGGGCTCAGGAACCACATACCTCCATGCACCATCCCAGGCCTGCACAGGATTCTCCAAGGCTGAGCTGAGGGCACAGTGGCACCCACACAGCCCACAGCCAAGGCAGTCCTTTGACTCTGGCTTCTTCCAGGAGAGGTAGGTGACGCGTGGCAGATCAAACAGGTTTAAGGTAGCTGCCAGGGCAGACTCCTCCCTTTCAGGATCCAGGCAGGGCTTGGGCAAGGAGGGCCCCACTCTCAGCTCTCAGCACACTCCCTCTTGCAGAGGACCTATCTAGCCTTTCTTGCTGTCTCACACCAGAGAGCTGGCCGGCCAGAGCACCCACTCTGCCTAATGGCAAGGTTTACTGCCTGTTGGTCAGTCAGGAGCAGAGCTTGCTAACCTGCAGACTCTTCAGCGAGACTCTCCAGCCAGGGGCTTCACAGCAGCAACCAAAGTAATGCAGGAGAAAGGAACATTTGGGGATACCTGCTATGGACTGGACTCCTTGGAAATGTCATCCAACTCCTTGTATTTGCTTACCAAAATCACTATTACACCTGAAAATTCAGGAGGAAGAAAGGAAAAAATTCATGCTTTAGGGATCACCAAGGCCATGCCTCCTCCCTTTCACCAGCCTGGCCGTCTGACTTCAGCACACACCCTCCCCACCATGTCTGGCACACAACTAAGTCAACTTAAAATACACTTCAGGATGACTTATTTTTCAGCCTCAACTACTCATGAGTACCATGTTAGTTTCCATTGCTGCTGTAACTAATTACTACAGACAGGCAGCTTATCCACCGCAAACTGGCATTTCACAGGCCTGGAGGACAGAAGTCTGACGTGGGTCTCACTGGGCTATAATCAAGGGCTGGTTCCTTTCCCAGGCTCTTGGGGATAATCCACTTGCTGGCCTTTTCCAGCTTCCAGATGCTGTCCACGTTCCTCACCTTGTAGCCCCTTGCTCCCCCTTCAGGGCCACCAGTGCGTCATCTCCTGGTGCCTTCCCGCTACCGTTCCCCTCACTCTTCCTCTGCTTCCTTCTGTTCCACTTTTAAGAACCCTGCGACCATGCTGGACCCAAAGGGAAAATGCAAGATGATCTCCCCATTTTTGGGTCAGAGATTAGTGATTTCAATTCCCTGTTGCCTTATAATGTACAAATTCACAGGTTCCTTAGGATTAGGGTGTGGCCTCAGGGCCACTGCTGTTCACACCATGCCTTTTCTATGGGACGGGCAGAATCCTCTACAGTTCCAATTTGCTGTATCACAGCATGACTGTGTCTCCTTAGTCTGTATCACTGATGTTATTCTTCGAGAGATTTCAGCAAAAGAGTCACCTTCCTAGTTGAAACTGACACCCCAAACAATATCATGCTCCCTTTAAAGAGTGCCTGAAAATACGGGGGTGCAACAACTCCGATGGTGCCACACCAGAGCTCACTTCCAGACAGTGCAGGTAGTCCCTCACGTAGGAACCCACCTGCTCATGTCCTGCTTCCCTCAGTGTGGGGTACCTGAGACATGTAGCAGCAAGAACCTCCGGCCATTCCGACTGTCCCAGGCTCACACTCACCGCCCTTCATCGCACTATGCTGCCTGGAGCCAGACACCAGCTCTATTCTCACTGCCTGTGGCACAATGCCTGTCTGCACATGGGCCAACCAGGAGCTATGGGTCCACTTCACTCCTGAGCTTACTGTAGAGAAAGAAGGAGGATTCAAAAGAAAGGCAGATGGGAAGAGGAACACCTTCTCAGATTTCTCCATTATTAGTTATTTCTTCCAAACCAATCATCTTGATTTAATGAAAAGGAAAATCAACACAGTAATTCTTAAAAATCAATGTGAAAGTTTTAAATTTCCCTTATGTTGTTGTTTAATATAAAATCTCAATAGTCTAGGATGCATCAAAGGGAAAAAACTAACTGTTCTTTGGGTTTTGTTCCCAGTATCCTGGTACCACTCCTCAAATGGGAAAGAAAAACGACTTTCTTATTATACCACTGATCCATGTCAGGACTCTAGGCAATAGACCTAGATCCCAGCTCTTCTTTTGAAAGAGCAAATGCCACAGCATTTGTGTACCTGCCCCATACAGCTGCCACAGACTATCACGTTGCCCTTCAGGAAATTCTTAGACTCACATGACAATGGCCCTCTGTACCCATGGGTGCCTGCAGATACAAAAATGCTCACCTCCAGAACCACACTCAGGAAGAGGGGTGAAAACCTCATCACAGCAATGCACTGCTCCCCATCATACCCTGGGCTTCTCCTCAGGATGCCTGTGCTCAGAGAGGCACCACAGATCAGGTGTGCAGATGGACAGGTGGGTAAGTTATCAAGAACCAATAGCTTGCTGGGTGTGGTGGCGCACACCTGTAATCCCAGCACTCATGAGGCTGAGGCAGGAGGATTGCTGAGAGTTCAAGGCCAGCCTGGGCTACAAAGTGTGCCTAAGGCCAGCCTGAACTGCATGGTGAGACCCTGTCTCAAAAAGACAACAACAAAAAAGAACCCAGAGCCAAACCAATACAATCACTGAGTTAGTAAAGGCTATAGAAACAGAGTTACAGTTGTACAGGGAAGGAGACATTTAGCTAATAAAAGGTATCAAATGACAAGATTTACACCTTGACTGAGGGGCATCATAGCCACACCAAGTGGTCCAATCTATTTGGAAGATTATGAATTCCTCTACAGCCCTGGGCCGTAACATCATCTTTTGTGATCAGGTCAATTTGGACAAGAAAACTAGGAAGAGAACTCTAGAATTTGGTGACGGCCTTGTGGTAGTGCCTGGAAAAATCTTCGCTTCACTTGTGTCCTTTCCCTGAACATGCTCTGGGCTGCGCACATCCAGAGGGGAGTAGGTTGGCTCCTCTAGGGATCCTTCTGCAGGGCTGTTGCACAGACAGAAGGCTCTGGAGACCAGCAAGGGATGAGCCCATTGTGTCTACAGGCTCCAGCTGGACTGTGTGCCAAGAGGCCTGGGAAGAGCTGGAAGGCGAGTCTGTGGTCCAGTCCAGGAGGGAAGTCAGGCTCTTTGGAGGGACTGACAACTCAGCTGCCACAAGACAGTAGCACATGGTCCCCTCCTGTTCTGGATCCTCTGAGACCTGGCACTTTTTACATTTTGACCAGCCGGGTCTTGTTGAAACCAACAGACTCAGGTTCCCAAGCCTAGGTTTTGTTGAAAAAGTGGCAGGAAAAGATGCCAAGCATACAATCTCAAGATAGGGGTGAAAAATAGAGCTAGTGGTATACTGACACTGGTTTTCCTAAGCCATTACTGGGGAAAGATACTTGGGCGAGAGAGAGGGTTTGCTGGAGGTGGATGCAGAATGATCACTGGTCCCCTGGGCCAGAACTAGGGACAGAAGACAAGGAAGGACTGTTCTGACGGAGAAACAAACCGAGTAACAAGGATGGGCATGGGGGTGGGGTGCCAGTCCCCAGGGACAGGAAAATCCAGATGGACAGATGGTGGGAAGAATGGTGAGGAGGGTGTGCAGTCTGCGGGCAAAAAGATGGACAGTGCGCTGCGCTGCCTGTAGAAGATTCAATCTTTGACGAGGGCAAGGAAAGCAAGTGCCGGGACGGCGCAGGAAGGCGAGCTGCTGCAGGAGGGGAAGGGGCGGAAGATCAGTCTGTTACGGGTGTGACAAAGCGCCAGACAGGGAGCGGAGCTAGCCTCATCACTCGGGAGAGGGAACGCACAGCCAGGGCAGCCTCTGAAGTGGGAGGGGGGTGCTCCCGGGAAAGGCTGTCCCCTCCCCGCAGGCTGCGAGTCAGGGGCCCAGCCAAGGAGAAAGCCCGCGGGGCCAAGGGGGCGGGCCGCGACGACTGACGGCGCCAGGCCGTGGGCGCGCCGTCACTCACCCGCTGCGGGCCGGGCTCGGATGCCCGCCGGCGGCCGCCTCGCTGCACAGGGCCGGACGAGGCGGGCGACCACTTCCGCCCCCTCCGCGCGCTCCCGGCGGCCTCTGCTCTGCGCCTGCGCTCCACTCCGTCCCGTCCCGCCCCGCCCGCGATCTCCCAGCAGCCTCTGCTCTGCCCTCCGACTCCCTCCCTGCGGCTTTTTTCTGCGCCTGCGCGCCGGGCTACTGGGAGTTGTAGTTTCGCTGCTCTGCGCCCCGAAGACTGCTTCCCCTGCGGTGCGAAGACATTGGCCAGGCAGATGGAGGTGGGAGGTGAGAAGACCTCCGGTTCTA